AGCCCAACATTTTTTTGAGTTTATAATAGATGTTGGCTACTAGGTGACTGTGATATTTTGACTTATTAACTGATAAAATCACTGTGAAGCGGCTACCTTTTCCAAAAATTTTCAGCAGACGGGGGCAGTAATTGCTGAATGAAAATATGCAAAGCAGTTTGGTATCTATTATATTACGTCATGATATTAATAGGTCTAAATCCAGTCGCTGTTTAAAAATTGTAGTTAGCCAATTCATACGCAGTTTGATCCCTTCAGTTCTATTCCTTTTAACCATCTGACTGATTTTGGTATGATTCTTCGGTTAGGCTGCAGCTTTGAGGAAAAACTTTTTTTAGAAAAAAATTCTTTCCCTCTGCATTGCTAGAATGCTTTAGAGAGACGATTTAGTAGCGCTTATTGTTTTTCCTTTACTTATTTCTTCGTTGCTTTGATTTTACTTTGATTATTTGAAATGCAAGATTCTGATATTTGTTAAAATTGTGAATGATAAAATGTTTGGAGTCATTCCAGTCTCATTGCAGTACGTAACATTTCGATGTTATGACAAGGGCCAGTCAAATTTGTCCTATCTTTGAAGCTTGGTTATTAAGCGTCGAAAATTTCTGCAGGCGCGCCACCCACGTGGTGCTTGCGATTACCGGTTGCGACTCAAAATGTGTTTCTAAATTTCTGGGCTGAATTATAAATTGACAGTGACCGAGACGGACTGTCGTATGGTACCCACGCGCAGCTGGCTACAGTTGAAGAAGGAACAGGTGAAAGAGGATGATCCATTTTAGCGCGAACAGGAAGTGCAGTGGATGTGACGATCTCTAGGCGAATATAAAACGGAAACGAAACAAACTTCGCCAGTAGCACAGGCGAAACAGCGACGGAACAGCGGCAACTCAGAAAAGGAGAGCATCGGAAAGGAGCGCATTATCAAATCAAAAATCTGATGCCGTGTTTTAGTGGTAAGTAGTACTGTTCTCACGCATGATTTCAAGGGTTCGACTCACTCAATGATTTGTTCATTCGTTTCGGTGGTAAACTGGTATCAGCACATTTTGAGCTTCCATAGTCGTAGAAGCTCTGCTGCATTAGCAAGGGCCGTTCAGGCTCGGGCACACAATGTGCTAGGTTTTGTTGCAGGCAGTATCACCTCGAGGCTGCTAAGGCGCTAAATCAGTGGCCTGTGACTGGCTTGCGGAGGGAATCGGAGTGTGGTGCCTAACTAGATGAATGAGGAGTTTGTACTTCACCACGCCAATGCTTCCTTATGAAAATAAATAGTGTCGCGCACCAGAGTAACCGGTAGACCCGTCCAGCAAACGTTTGCCTGCTAATGTTTTTCACTATTTTGTACTTTGTTCTGAGTAAAAATAGTTGAAATGTTGGCGAAATTTCCCATGAAAAATCTCACGTACCGATGCGTGAAAGCTGAATTTGAAACTCCGGACAGTGAACATCCTTCCAGAATTTCGGCTTCCTAATTTTCTGGCTTTTGAATGATTTCTGCGCCAAAACATTGATGTGTTCATACTCGAAGCCTCGCATATCAGGGAGACTAATTTGAGTTTGTGAGATCCTTGAATAGGCAGAAAACATCCTCCTGAAATTTTTAGCCTCCCAGTTTTTGTGCTTTCCGAGATAATAATTACCCAGTCAAAATTTTCACGGAACCTTACTTGATAACCGTGTGTGCGGGAAAGCTGGTTTTAAATTTGAGAAATCATTACCCCAAAAGTTCAGCTTCCTAGCTTCCATAGTTTCCGAAATAATAATTTTCCCGTCAGAACTTTCACGGGGTCGCACGCTGTATCCAAGGGCAGGGGAAGGCTGAAATTAATTTGGCCAAAGAGCACTCCCCTAAAGCCTCTGCGGTTCCCAAGTTAAAAGTTTTGGACACACATACATACAATCGCGCACACAGGCAACATGCGTTTTGTTTAGCTGTTTCAAGTACAAGACGCATAATAAAACTAAAATACGCATGAGGAAAATATTTTGAAACTCTCTCTCAATGATATAAATCCAAATTTCAACAATCTCGTGCCAGAAGTTCAAGCCCTGAGCTCATATTAACGTTTTGTTGATTTTTTTACTAAATAAACAACCGGTAAAAACATGTGTTTTATGCGTTTTTGTAGCCTATGCGAATGTAAAAACGCATGTCGAGAGCATCTCTGTGTGTGCATCTGTGTGTGTGTGTGTGTGTCTGTCTGTCTGTCTGTAAGTGTGTGTTCAGAAGCGTGTGAACTCTATTACTCACTTTCAACTCAGCAACTGGTGAGCCATGATGAAACATTACCGTCCCAGCCAGTGCCCCTTCTCCCGCATGCAGGAAAAGACCAAAACATGGGCACATGAGTTGCACGATGTTAAACTGTAAAGCAACAACCATTCATACTGTCAATGATGTGACTGCGTCAAGTTCAGTGTAAAGATGCATGTTTGCATGGACAAGACTGGTGCGTTGCTACCTGAGTTTTATTAAAAGGAGGCCCGCGAAGCGGTGCCTGTGTTAAGGCTTCTGCCCCTGAATACCACTGTCTCAACGATGCAGATTGCCAAAACTTGATTCGGCCGGTGTCATACACGATCTGCGAAAAATTTTGCATGAGATGGCGAGCCGTCTTGCGGCGAGTGGTGAGTATTCGAGTGTGGCAGGGGCGAGGGGAAGTGGTGGGCTGCAGGTTTCCTTCGAGGCAGGAAGGGGCCTGGGATAGGTGGATTCAGTGGCTGCATGGCATGGGTCCTTTGCCGGTTGGCTGGATCACGTACATTTTAAGGGAGGAGGGATAATGGGTGTAAAACGGGAGGAAGTGTGCTCCTGGATTTTGCCGCGGATACCTGAGGTAGGGAAAGGGCTGAAGTACCGCTTGCTTCCACATTGCTCTTACAGTAGGGATGGAGGAGCTCAGAAGTTGCTCCTCAGGCAGGATTTGGGAACAGGGTAGAGAAGTGGAACGAAGGCATAAATCCGGAGCTCGGAAAAAGAACTGAAGACAGCAGTAAAGGGGAAGAGACAACATGGCACTGTGGAGACAAGTAACTTAAAGCCTGAGCCTATAGATAAAAGCAAGAAAACTGAGCTTTTGCGAGTGGAAATTGTACCATAAAAACCCGTCTTCAATGGAGGCTTCCCTATTTATGAGAAGGGGGCTTCTTGAGGGCGAATAAATTTCATTCTAGGATATGAACTGGGCTGAAATAGAGGTATTCTGGATGCATGGGAATGGAATCATCTTTTACTTCTGTGAGATTTTGGTGACAAAAAAAACAGTGGTGTAAATGTTGTGCACAGTCGCAGTCTGACGAAGGCAACACATTGGAACTGTGTGGAATATCTATATAAATTCAATCGAACCTACTCGCTTTCAGTTCATTTAAGTATCGGCTTCACAAATAAGGAAGGCCTTTGTTGAAGTTTTGCAAGACAATTTCCACTCACATAAGCTCAGCTTTTATTTGCTTTTGCTTTTTTTTTATTATTAATAGGTCCTGATTCTTTGGTTTCGTTTTTTCTCGCTTTTTTTTCACAAATTCAGGTCTACTTTAATTTACTTTTGTTTGCAATGCTGTACTGTTTCTTTCTTTTTACTGCTGTCTCCATTTTTTGCCGAGAATTCCTTGTTCCCTTCCCTAGTTTGTTTCCAAGTTTTGCCTGCAATGCAACATCTGTGCTCCCCTCCATCCCTTCTGTAAGTACAGTCTGGAAGCAAGCAGTTCAGCCTCTTCCCTACTCCGAGTATCCGTGGCAAAAACCAGCAGCACACTTCCTCCTCCTTTCCACCCATCACCCACCCACCCCTCCTTCTTTAAATCTGTGTGACCTAGCCAACCGTCAAGGAATCTACGCAACGTAGTCATTAAACCGACCTATCTCAGAACCCCTCCCCTTGCCTCGAACCCCTGCGGACGAAATCCGCAGCACACTACTCCCTCCCAATCTGCTGCATCGAACGTCCGCCACTTGTCGTGGAGTATCGTCACCCGCCATCACAAGAAAAATTTTCCGCAATTCGTCGTATATGATGCTAATCGAGTCAAGCCGAGTTCTAAGATGAGCGACCTGCAAGATTTCATTGCGTCTATGTGAGCAAGTAAAATTCGATGAGCAGGACATGTTGCTCACGTTGCAGATAACCGGTGGACAATGCATTTTTAATGAATGTATCCTCGAGAATGTAAACGATCCTTCAGGCGACCTCCGGAGAGGTGGTACACATACGTAGAACGGGTGGTGGATACTACCTGCCAATATATAGTGCGGTATCAAAGGGCCTAGCCAGCTGCGCTCGGCATGTGGGAGGATTCTAGTAACACTGACAACAGGAAAATCCTACATAGTCCGAATGTTCTTGGTATATATGTATGTATATGCGAAGGCATATAAATATGCATGTGTATTCATTAGTACGTGCAAAGGGCTTTTTCATTTTGAACAAATATGAAAACATTCTGCAGTTTTAGTAATGAACAACTGGAGCGAAGATGTGTTTCGTTAGTCCGTCAATAATTTATCTTCGGTTTGCTCTTTGCACGTTATCACTGAATTTTCGCTTTCCTGCCCTATTTTTCGACTTTTCCACACCCAAACACGCGTGTAGCACAAGCCGAGTATTACATTGGGCAAGATGACCAGCAGGATGGCGAGCAACAATACCGCCAAGAATAGATAGTTCTGGAATGCGGAAGAAAATCCTTCGTCCGAGATGCACAGTGGGATCTGAAAATGAATGTGCATATGACGTAAACACACAATAAACGCGTAGCCAGCTCTAAGCATACTATCTCTCTGCTTACAGTTCGAACCAATTTCAAAAAAAAGAGGAAAAATTGAGAGCCGAACAAAATCTGGGGAAGGCGGTAGATGATAAAAGTACCAAATCAGCACAAGATCGAAATCGCGCTTTTGCGGCTGACGAATTAGCATGAGTGCTGATCGAATCTTTGCAGAGGTATTGTTGCCACTGTTGAGCGTATACTGAGGCCGGTCCACGACTCATGCATGTTACCGTGCACGGAGACCAGGCGGTCCATGAACAACCTGGCTTTCGAAGCTGGAGCTGCAAAAGTTAGCTTTCCAGGACGAATATGGGTCAAGATATTACGCGCATTGGTCTAGCCAATAAAGAGGCAATTTTTTGTATTTTGTGTGATGAGTGCTCAAACTGTGATTTTATTTGATACGAACAATTATCATTTTTAAGTGTCTGATCCTCCTTAGCAAAACAGACAAACACAAAAAGCGCAGAATAGTAGCGATAAGGGCTCGCAGTGAAGTTCCGTTCGGGAATTGACTGAAAAGTAAGCTGGGGTTGGAGTAGATCGATTTGAATTGACACGTCAGTAGTCAGTTACCGTTAAAAGAAGTAATCCCAGTTAGATGAGCTTTTCCGATTAGGAATTGGAAGCAACAGCTTAAGCATATGAATGAGCACAATTTATCATTACGGCAAAGCCTCTGAGTTTTAAAATTAAGAGTTCTTTGTTGAAGTTTGGATTTTTGAACTCCTTTTGCAGATCCCTTCATTTAAAAACCCTCCCATATTATAATGAAGATTTTAAAGGTTCGCCGTTTTCCTTCGGTTTTTTTTTCGTGGAGACAAACTCCAGTTAGACCACGACTGGACATACTCGAATAAATGGCAATGCATACGAAGAAATCAAAACGGTAGCGTGCCTTTGTGATAGGCTGCTACAGGCACACAGGCTGTTTCCTTGTCTCAGTGGATTCTTGCCTACCGTCGCATAACGATATGCCATTTATTGTGGATAAGAGCTGAAGCTTCTTTTAAGACGTGAGGGTAAATCTCTAGCATCCTCTGCATCAGGACAGAACATAATAGTTGATTTCAAGCGTTTGAGCCAGTGCATGACTGAGGATGATTTTCATCAATTTCAGCATTTGGTGTTTACAGCTGATCGAGAGCGCCTCACACATACGCATACAAACAGCACACACGCTAAAATGATTTTCACATTCACATATGTATTGCCAGAACTGTTAGGGTGTGGACTGATGGCAACCCTGCCTCCTCGGCATGCATTTGTACTATCAAAAAAATATGTGGGGCATAGAAAATCATGCTTCTTGCTAGCCAGCATGCATGACCTTTGCAAATGCGGCACCACTCGAAGAGGAGGAAGCTAAATGGTCTCTTTTAAATGACTCGTAGACCCGACTGCTTGACATCACCGAGATCTCTGAAACCGCACCAGGAACAAAAAAGTTCTCAATTTTAAAATCTTGTTAGTCAGGATTATACGATTTTTATAAGAGCATGCAAATTTTTATGTGTTTTGTGAGCAAATAAAAGCCAAGAGTGTAATAAAATGATCATTTTATAACGCAGATGAGCCTGCGAGAAGCCTGCAAACATGCCAATGCCATTCAAGTTCAAGTACTGGCTAGTTCGAAGCTAAAGACTCAAAGTACAGGGATAGCTGGGGGCGAGCTTTGCGCTTCGTGATCTTGTTTGTGGCTGTTTGCGAAATTTCAGCTTTCTTTCCCCCTTTCTAGTTCAGATTTGTAGCGCCGTGGTGCACACATATGAAAATACACACAAAACAGACTAAATAGTGGCCTAGCTACACTCACGTAAAAAATACAAATGAAAATCATATAATAAAATGAAACAAGGCTTTATTCAGAGAGCAGGTGAGCCGATTTTCAAAGAAACTGGCAAAAATGACCTAGCTAAATATTTCAGTGCTGGAATTATCCAGATATTATTGTTACAGGAGTGCAAAAAGGTCGCTGAAAAATCCTCAGGAGTCGGCGAGGCGCAATCAACGACTTGTTTTCAGCGCCCAAAAGACCGCAGCTACAAGACAGGTATATTCAGCAAAGTTTCAATAATTAACATCGTGGTCATAACGGAAAGAATTCCGCTGACAACGAACCACATCCATCCGCAACTTTTAAACGGAGCAACGGTGCACCTACTTGCGAGTAGCATGAAAGCAGAATTAACAGTGACCCAAGCTCCTCACCACTGAGCTTACCGGGTGTGTTGTGTAGATTTCTGGACGTTTTCGAGGTGAAGCCACGCTCCGACCTTTGGTCCTGGACTAACTGTAGTAGGCCGGCTATGACTCTCCACAAGTGCGACATTCTAATGCAGTGCGCACTACCCTGCCTAACCGCTTACGTTTTCCTTTGCAGCGGAAGCTAGTACGCTGCATCCACCTTTTAACCAAAAGAGCAGTGCGCTGTGCCCAGAAACTTCACCTTCTGTGGAGGTCACGGCAACATGCTCCTGTTGCGTTCTTCGCGACACACGTTGAATTTTATTAGAGCTATGGTCCAAATAACAAGTACGAACACAACGGGATTAGGAGCGTCAGGGGTCGTCCAGTTCATCGGCAAGTACTGACCAGAATTGCATGATTCCACGGCACTATCGATTTTTTCGCGATCGAGCAAGATCGTCGGTCTTGCTCCCAAAAGTTCCGTACTGGTCGCATGCGTTATAATGGTCGAAAAGAGGTGTAGCTCTCGAATAAATGCATCACACGCCTTCTAGTTGTCTTGCGTTTCGGCTAATCGGCCAAGCAATCGCCGTACAGCACACAGCCTACAAGCATCGAAAAAAGGAGCCGAACTGATAGGGAGCGGCCAAAAAATGGATACTGAGCGAGAAGATCAAGCGATCCAGGATCTCGTCGAACACCTCAAATCCATTGCACCATTCAACAAGCGTTGGCAGGTAGGCACAGTCTTGCTAATGCACAATAACAGTGACCAGTACTCAAGACAGTAGTGATTGCGACACGTTCACCGAGAAGTGGGTCTGCACTTGGCTGGGCACTAGTAGTGGTCGAAGTCCGAACTTCCCTCTATTTCACTTCCTTGGAGGGGAGGACGGAGTGCTTGAGATGATGCGACTGATGCCAATGCAGCAACAGCAGCCATGTACTGGCGTGGCTCGCTTTTCGATTTGAAAAACACCGATTTTTTTTTTTTCATTTGTAAAATTTGAAATTTTAACAGAATTACACGATTTGCTTGTTGACTGGCG